TGTGTGTGTGTGTGTGCTCGCGCGCGCGTAGTGAAACACCAAGCCAATGTCTAGTTAACAAGAGTTGATTAAAGTTTTTCTTTTCTTTGTTTTTTTATATTGTTGTATTCCCCCATTGAAATAATGCTGCTTCGATCCCGTCTGTCAGAGTCATTTTTGGGCAGAGGGGGGTGCAGAAAGCTGGAATCGAGCTCAATTACTTTGTGTCCAGCAGCGAAAAGCCTGCCTTACTATTGTTCCATAGGCATCGGTTTAACGTCGTTGTTTGTTTTAGTAAGGTTTTGCAGGGCTTGCAACTGTATAATGAGGTCATATGACCTCCAAAGAGAGGATGTCAACAGAGAAGTCCAAACGGGGAATCAGGTTCACTCTGCTCACCTCTCTATCCTCAACAGCACAAAGTCTGCTTCGACTAACAAGGCACCCCGGAAATAGCAGTTCACAAGAGATGACAAACATACAAAAGAATTAATTAGAGGAAAATGACGATGGTAAGGACGAGGAAAGAAAAAACAAATTTCTTCCGTTCAAAGGCAGACCGACACAACTATAATCATTTCACGATTTTGAAAAGGAAATTGCGAAAACGTTTACGCTTAGCCTGTTGAAAGTTATGAATGATTCTACTCATGATTGTGTGGGAATGTAGGCACATCACTCTGCCATCAACAATGGGATTGGGGTCAGTAGCTTGTAGCTTTACCACTTTAAAACTCTCTGTTACGTAAGAAGATACGTCATCTTGGCTTTGACGTTTCGTTACCCCAGAATTATCAGGTTCCATCTACGCAGTACCTAGTTTTTGAGAAATTTAGATTTTCACAATAATAATATGTCAAGCTTTTTCAAATGCAATACTTTAAATATCTTGATGATAACTCAGAATAATCTTACGATTTTGATAAAGCAGTTAGAACATTAGATTTCTGATATTATAGTCTTAGTAACTCAAAACGGCCAAAAATGTCGAATTTAACGTTGTAATTCTAATTTAGCGAATTGCAAGAAGGATCTGGGCAAGACTAATCCAACAAAACACTAATTTTTATTTAAACAAGAACTAGATGTTGTTTAATTACGTCTCTGGGGCTAGGGACGGCAGAATTGAACAGCTCTCTCCTTTTTTCCTATCAAACATCCGTCGTCCTGATCTCTCCTCCTTCCTTTCTATGTTTGTTATTCTCTTAAAACACCTCTAATCTTCGGCACTTAAATGACCTTATTGTGTTTCAAGTGCCGTAAAACTCTTACTAAAACTTTTTAGAAACTCTGAAAGGTGGGGCCTCCAAGAGAGAGTAATTTCAGATAAAACTGACCACCCCTCCTCAGCCAACACTAGTTCATAGAGGTCTGGCCTCGTGGGGATTCAACCCAGGTTCACGTGGATCGTTGTCCAGAACGATAGAAGGGAAACAGAGCACAAGCGTGCAACGATGTGAATAGAAAATAAATAACTAAATTCGTTATTGAATAAATGAATAAATACATAAATGAATGAATGAATGAATGAATGAATGAATGAATGAATGAAAGAATGAATGAAAAAATGAATGAATGAATGAATGAATGAATGAATTAGATGGAAGGATGGATGGATGGATAATTATGTATTTATGTATGTGTGTATTATGTATGCTCTTAAGGGATCAATAAAAGTGTAATTTATTATTATTTATTATTTATTTAACCTGTGTTCCCCAGCATGGCGATCCAGGCCACGGTTTACCAGCTGCTACTCTTCACCACCCTGTGGACCTCCCTGCCATCACAGACGCTAAAGGACCTGCAGGTGGTCACAGACTCTGTTGTGACGTCACAGCGGAACGGCTCAGCGACCCAGCCACCAGCCGCCTCCAGTGTCTACCCAGTAACGTTAGTATATTTTTACACACACACACACA